CCAACAACGTCACATTAGAAAGTATCCGGTCGTTAAGTCTGACGTCACTAGCCATGTCTGGGCCTAAACTCCGCTGCAGGATCCATATATCAAACTGATCACTATGGCATTACTGAGAGTTGAAAAACTGTCTAAAGTCTTTCATCTTTAATAAAATGATCAGCGTTCTGCTCTACCAGGTGTAACAATTGAGTTTAACATCCAGGCATCCATGAAAACTGGAATTTATGACATTTAACGGAGTTAGAAGTTAGCAGGAAGTTAGCTCGCTAGCTTCTATCTAAATACAATATAGCATGTCCTGACTGCGGGGTTTTGGAAACAAATTAAAACGTACAGCTCTGTTATCACTTCCAACATAAATGAAGACAGAAAACTAAACAGCAGTGACGTTTGTCAGGGTTACTGAAGTTGTATATAATGTTGTGTACGTGATTGCTAGCGACACAGCTATGTTAGCATAACATTAGCACAGTGAAGCTGGAGGATGAACCCAACTTTTTTTCCACTCGATAAAAGTTAACGTGAGGGATTCTGGTGGTCAGGGACAAATGCAATCGCATAGCAGGATGCTATACACGGGGCCAAACTTCAGTCAGGAGAACAACTGAGATTATTCATCCACAATACGAGGTTAGTTATTAATATACTGCAACAACATGGGAATAGAACAGCTGCGAGAGAATTCAACATTAATGAATCAATGTTACGGAAGTGGAGGAAGCGCAGTTTTTGGCTTTCCCCATATTTCAACAAGTGCTTCATCTCCTTGCTATGACTGTCGCCAGGCATAATTTGCAGATGATAATGGTTGTAGCCGCTCCAATGCTTTCGACCAATGACTGTATAAAAGATGGACGACGCGACACCGCCTCCTCCCATTTTGCAAAAATGAAGCCAAAATATCCTGCTTGTGGAGGCTGCCATCTTGCAAATTAGGAGCCAGAGTCTGCGCAGTAGTGAGTTGAGGTGGAGCGACTGTGTAACGCTCCCGCCCACACACCTGCTGGACGTGACCGCAAACACGCCCCTCTACACTTTTTACGTAGCCCGAGTTTTTTGCTGGTTTACCGCAACTGACGACTCGTTTAATTAAGGTAAATACAACCATGTCACTGTTATAAAAAAAAAAAACACAGCTTATCATCTTATAGTTCTAAAATCACTCTGTTGTGAATTCGTTTGCTAGATTAACCGCTTGCATACGCACTGTGTTGGAGGCTTGTTGCTAGCTAGTTAGCGATGCTACACACCTGTTACTCTAATAGTCTGTATTATTGAATGATTCGGCACTTGTTTTGTTTTTTTAATTCATTTTTAAACAGCAATGAGATCATCTGACAGATTATCAGTCAGTAGTTTTTAAAGCCGCCCGTGTCACGGTCTGAGTGGCAGACCGTGGGGAAGGAGGACCCAAACGCTGGACTCTGTGCAGTGAACAGAGCGTTTATTTACAGTGCAGAAAATGACAAATCCCCGTGTGTTTCCTTGACTCCCGTGTCGTATCTTCTCCCAAAAATCTGTGTCTTTGTGCTCTCTGCTCCTGTGTCTCCACACTCCCCGTGCTTGCTACCCTCCTGTTTCCACGGTCCTCCTGGTGGAAAAATACCAGAGGCAGCCATCAAGACACACGCTCTCGCCGTTATACGCTAGCTGACTTTAACTTACACTAAGACACTGCCGTGGAGTCTTACACAACAATCCCCCATCAAGGAGCACTCAGCCACACTGTTAAATAGCTCCCCGATGAGGCTTGATCAGCTCCAGGTGTGTGTGATTCTCCTCTGCAAGTGTGGCCGGGCTCCTGGCTAACACACCCACCCGGCCAGAAGAACCGGTGCTCTGTCACACCCACACACACCCACCTATACACAAACACGTGGAAACAAAGGACAGCAGCACCAAAAATACACAGTCAATACTTATTCAAAAACCCTGGGTCCTTCAGACCCAGGCCCATGACACTCGGCCTTGTTGTGTTTTCAGTTCATACTCTTTTTGAAATGCACATGTTATCATTAATTATTTAAATGAATGACAAAAATGTAGTCAAAGAAAGTTTGAACAGAGAAATCTGTTTGATTTTGGAGCCACTCCTAGAATAATTTAAATAGGATCTGTAGATTTATTATAAATGATGTCTCGGACCGTACTTTTACCACCCACCAGAGGGCCACAGCCCTGACTTTAAGAATCTCTGCTGTAACATTTACACAGGTGAAGTTCAGATGTTTGATTTCCTTACTAGGACGGCACTAACGGCCTCAGAGCGTCCTGCACTGGGTCTAACCTTAACCCCTTACTGTTTTTACTGTCTCTGAGCATCTGTCAGCACATTGTTTACTCTGGGATTAATAAAGTAAATATTAAATACACTGGTTCTTACATCTTATCTCAGAGTGCTTAACCAGCCAGGGATTGAACCACCAACCTGTCGAGTAATAGATGACCGGTGCTACCTCTTGAGCTACAACCACCCCGATAAAGTGGCCTGATTCTAACTCCTGTCTCTGGAGCTCACACGAGCTCTGATGGTAAATACTAAAGTTACTGTAATCTGATTACATATTTCCTCAATAACTGATGACTCCTTTTCTCTGACTCCTCCCCCTCAGGTGTCCACTGCGCTAGACCTCCCCAGCTACACAGACAGACTATGGGAGATTCAGGCCTGCAGCGCCTTGAAGGGACTCAGCCTCCAGCGGGCCTTCACCTCCGTCAACAAGATGATCAAGATGGGCTCGCTCTGCGGTAGAGTATCATTTCCTGTTCTTGCTCAAACACAGTGGTGTTTCTGAGTAGCTTATTTGCTTAGCAATTTAATTAACAACTTTTAAATACATTC